TCAAAGCATTCTGAGAAACCCGACCTGTTTATGAACTGCATAATGTATCTTAATGATGATTAGTTTTTTCTTCTGGGGAGAACTTCAGTTGTTTGTGTCTAACAAAATGCTTCATCCTACCCAAGACCATTACACTATTAGACTGACGTCAACAAAGGATGGTCTATAAAGAAGGTTTGCAGGCTTGGTAACAACTTGAAAAGAAGAGACTAATACTAACGAAGGATAGAAATTGTTTGTATGAGAGCCCTCCAGATTTTAAAAAAGATATACCATTTAAGGAAAACGTACCTAACAACATGTGCATTTACAGTGAGTACATTTACACATGCCAGCAACCCACAAGTGAGTACTGTATTTACAGTCTAACAAGCATCTCTGTTAGAAAATTATTCCTTAGAGCAATGGCATGTTATGGATTACTTTAGTAATTAATAAAATTAATTAAAGGCACACTTAAACGATTCAGATTAGGAGAAAGACACAAGTTTTTTCTCCAGCCAGGAGAGATTATTTGAGCACTGTGCTCTCTGGGCAGAAGATACACCAACAGGTTCCCACAGCTTTGGGAAAGCTGCCCTGGGGAAGCAGACTCTGCTGGGAATTGCGGCACAAGCACCTCCTTGTGGCGCTGAATCCTCGGAGCTGAAGACGTAATAGGGATGCTATCTGACAAATCTCTTGGGATTTTGCTTCACCTTCTTTGAGGCAAGCTTGTTGTAGGTGTACTCGTGGGAACCTACGGAGGAGCAAAACTCCAGCAAGAAGTTTGACTTACTGAGGGATTGAAGAACTCTTACCCCAAATCAAACATTTATGCTACTCAGACTGTGTATCTCTTCAAGCTTTAAATGTCTTTCAACAAAATGCATGATCAATGATTAATATAATGATCTAATTATTATATCCCAGATCTAATCTGGGAACTATCACAGTAAAAGTATGTACATATATTTTAATATACAAACGCACAGCTGTCGGTTCAAGAGATGTGAACTCAGCATATTTGTATAAAACTCTGGATGATATCATTACTATGCTACCTGACAGAAGACAGTCTCTCTCCATGCGGAGACACATGACTTGAAAGGTATTTTAGACATAGTGGCCAGTGGTTCCCCACACTTTAGTTCATTGGAAACAGGGTAGTAAATCTGCCTGCAGGTACACAGCGATGCTGTTATGGCCCAAACTGTCAAGGAAAGCAAATTAGTGTTCAAAAGCCCTAAAAATGAAATTAATGCAAGTTATGGACCTTTGTCACAGCCCAAGTATTGTCATTCCAGCCTTAACCTCTTGCAGCCTAATACTATTTGAGAAATCTTTACATATATCCCAACAGGGTAAATGACAACCTAAATGTCTTGGTTGCACACAAATAAAGCAACTTTTACATAGTTATGCAAATCAGTGAAAATGAGGCTCTAGGAAGACAATCAGAAAAAAAAAAAAAAAGGTGTGATTTAGGTAAAATTCAAATATACCTCCTGACAAGTACTTAAGGTAAAAATCACAGAACAAAAGTTCAGTCTCTACAGTGAGCGCACAACTGCCTGTTAAACCCTTACTCATTTTTCTCAGAGTAATTTTTCCTTATTACTAGATGGCATAAGAAAGAGTCCTGTCTTGTTTTGAAAGCTGGAACATTTTATTTTTGAGTACCCAGCTATAATTCCACAGTGATTACGTGTCCAGTGTAAAAGATTTTGGCTAGTCCTACAAAAATTATGGTGATAATCACTTGCCTTTATATTACATACTAGATGATAAATTGAGATGGCATGCAGATTTACACCCCATCCCCCCCCCGCTGGGAAAAGAGAAATGAAAAACATTTCAGGAAAGCAGGCAAAAATGGATCTATTTGCATCCTAAATGAAAATTTCTTCCCCTTCACGAAGAAATACTTTAATATAGACGATTTACTGGACTATAATAAGATGCACTGTATCTTCACAGAAGAGATGAAGCGATAAGATAGTGATCTCCTTGAAGGGTGGCAGGAGGGGCGCTTCCAGAACCAAAGAATTGGACAAGTTCACTCTCCTGACATCACTGATCAGTCAACACAAATGCTGCTGAAGATGAAGAATATCTAAACAGCATTGTGGTCTAACTCAAGATGAAGCAACCACAACAAGAGAGTTAGTAGAAGGGCTGAAGGGGGCAGGCAGAAACACACACACACACAAAAAAACCCAACCCTGTTTGTTTGATTCAATAATTTTATCCAGTTTCTGTCCACTATATCAATGCCACTGAGAGAATATTCTTGAAAAAGATTGGTGAACCTGGTCTTGACAGAGGCAAAATCTTTGAAAGCTAAGAGATGATTATCAAAACAAACAAACAAAAAAAAAACCCCAAACCCAAAACCCAGACAGAAGACAGTCAATGCTGCCTCTTTAAAGCTTTTAAATAATCCTTACTTACACAGTTACAAAAGTTAGCTCAAAGCATGTTTTTTCTGATTTTCACTCCTAATGATTTCTTTTTAGAGCAAAATAAAGCCTGTAAAAAGGTCTGTTCATGGCAATTCCATTAACAAGTCTGTGCAAACATATATATTTTTCCCCCCAGTCTGGCCTATATATTTATTTCTGTTTAATAAACGTATAGGACAAAATTACAAGGCAAAAATAAGTGAAGAAATTGTTGCAAAAAGTTTATGTCGTCCTGCAGTCAATTTGGTGGTCAAAGTCGACAATGAACATTTTAAAAAACCCATACTCAATACAAACCTCCAACTTTATCCAAAAAGCCCTCCACACACTGGAGATGAATAAATAATATTAAATTAAAACAACACATGGATATAAATTTCCATTTCATCAAGGTAAGGTCACCTTGTATGTCAACAAATTCTCTGACAGGCTTTAAACTTGAGACATCTGTCTCCATTGGCTCACTGAAGTCATACAAAACACTTGGACAAAGATTAACTGGTCTTACTGCTATGCCTTTTCCTTATTTCCAGAAATGCGTGCTATAAAGGCATCTATAGCATGAACACATTGAATTATTTTTGTATGATCCTGCCTTCCATAAACAATACCTGTGCCTCTAACAGCAAAGTTAATGTAACCACGGATTGGAAACCGCCAAGAATGGAAACTGATGCACTCAATGATCCTTCTATTAAAATATTGCTTAGATATTAAAAAAAGAAAAACACTGCTCTAAGCTTCAACATTCAGCATGAACTGCTGATGTGGGCTGAATCCTTCTTAAATAGATATTATTATATTTCAATGTCTTTTGTGATTATGACAATTTTGACAAGATAATGATCTCCTATGAACAGGACTTTTTAAGGTTTAGAGAAATAATGTAAAATTTATTAAATAATCTGTCAAATTATCTATGAACCCTGCTTTCAAAAGAAATCCTATGATCTCATTAAAATAATTACAGAAAAATCTATGCCTGATATTATAAATAACAAGTACCAGTATCACTGATATACAGCGGAGAGATCTAAAAGTACAGGAACCTGCAAGATCCAAGAGGTGACAGCATAGCTTTGTTCTCTTAAGATAGTCAACAGAAGTTTCTGTGATAAATATCCTGCAGGCTAGGTCAACTTTCAAACCACAGTCATCAAAACAGAGGGAAAGGAAACAAGTCTTCAGCTATGCTAAAATTAAATAATCTAGGTATGTATACTGCAGCCTCATTTCTCTTTCCTTTGCTGCCTCTTTCATCCTGTTGCTTTTGGGGAAAAACAAAAGGCAGTTCTACATAGCACAACAATTACACAGAAAGAGAAGTAAAGGTACAAGGAAACATCGATAGGAAGTGTCTTAAAAAAATAATATTTCCTAGAATTCTCTTTTCAGGAACAGCATGACAAAATGAAGGCGTGAAACCAGAGATGATGTCAAGAATAAGAGAAGTAATTATTTTTAAACAAAATCTCTATTTTAATTTGATAGGGAAAGACACAACTGAGCAAAACTGGGAAGCAGGGTATGATGTTTACTTTCCTGTGGTGTAAATACAATATGCAGGAGACACAGGACAGGAACAGCTCCAAAAGGTCTACAGGAGAGTTGCTTCCTCTTAACCCCTGCTGCCACTGATTATGGCTTTACTCTAGTAGTCAGCACCGCACTTGCAAGATTCAAGCATCTTCAGTAAGACACAACTGAGCAAAACTGGGAAGCAGGGTATGATGTTTACTTTCCTGTGGTGTAAATACAATATGCAGGAGACACAGGACAGGAACAGCTCCAAAAGGTCTACAGGAGAGTTGCTTCCTCTTAACCCCTGCTGCCACTGATTATGGCTTTACTCTAGTAGTCAGCACCGCACTTGCAAGATTCAAGCATCTTCAGTCTCTTACACCAGGGAAGTTACCCTCTTTTAACTGAAAACTCCTGCTCTTGGAGAGTAAAGGGTAATCAACCAATGCAAGACAAAAAAATACAGCATTATCTGAGAGAATGTTACAGAGACAGCAGGTTTTCCACCTAAGCTACTTGAAAGACACAAGGCTGCTGTCACGTCACCATATCGGAGCATGACAGAACGGAAACCCCTACCCATCAGTTACATCACCAGACTAAGTCCCTGCACGACTCCCTCTGCCTGGCATCCTACGTTACAACCACTCCAGAAGAAGCGGTCCCTGTCTCTCGGTGAGAATGAGGAGTCACCAATCTACGCCCAAACCTACATCAAGTACATCAGAAATTTGTTCCAATACTTCATAAAACTGAAGTGTTAAACAAAAACATAAATAACGAGTTATTTCAATAGCTGAATGGTTAACTGAAGTAGGGGAAATTCAATAATTATTTTGTAAGACGTTTTAAGTGTAGAAACCTATCTTCTCCAGAGAAGTTAACTGAAATTTAAAGATATTAAATATAAAATCACATATTTTGTTTTCAAAATTCTTTTATACTGTTTTTTGCTTTAAGAGGGAAAAAATAAAAGGCAAAAAAGTATGATATAAAAGAAACATGGACTTTTTAAATGTTTAGAAGTCAACTCACCAGTCTCTTTACAATTCTCAACAAAAGCTTCAGTTGTCGTGTATCTTTTTTGGACCTCAGTACTTCAGCAAAGCTGTCCATGTTTTCTGGAGACATACTGTCCTGACTGTTCCCTCCATACAGCTGAACCAGCAATGATAAGCACTGCGAGGCACTCACAAATATTTCAGTATCTTCACTGGGAAGCTAAAAATGAACAAACAAAAATCAAATTCCAATTTCAGAAAAATTGCGTATCACTGGGGATTTGCAAGAGTATTAACATTTGCACTGTGCCAGAAAAGAATAATTTCTAGTTGACTGATTCAAAATTCCATTAAACTAAGCTTAATAAAGTGATGAAAATACAATTAAAATGTATCTGTCCTTAAGCAGGAGTATAACAACGTCTCCACTATGGTTCTATGAAATAGCCTATATATAGAGACATCATAAAATCACTGAAAACATTGGTCCCAACTCTGTTCTTTTCAGACAGTATGTTTTGCTTTAAATAGAATTAGTAATAGCAGAGAGTATCATTATAGCCATGATGTCTAATCTTCTACGTAATGCACACCATAAAACTTCATTTAATTATTTCTAAATCACGGCTATGGCTTCTGGTTGAGGTAGAATGCGGGCTATCTAGCTGTTTAAAGGATTTTAAGCAGACACATTAGGAGGTATGTTTTGCAGTTTTTAACATTTTCCTGAATTCCAGCTTTTCTGTACTTCTCTGAAGAGCAGACACTGGAGCAGGCCTTAGCAATGGGATGGAAAAACTCTTTTCTGGGAAACAGAATTATAGAAAAGATTTGGGAGCACGGCTAATAATCATCTTCAAATGAGCTTCTGGTAGTATGACACTGCTATCAAAATGATTTATAACTTTCTTGAAAGCACAGGCTGGAAACTATGAGTAGAGGTATTATATTATGCTTGTATTTGGCACTGTTGGAATGACAACAGGAATGCAATGCCTAGTTTTAGCACAGACAGTTCATGAAAGCTAGTGAAAAAAATCATAGCGGTTTCTCGGGAACAGGCAAGAGGATGACAGATTGGAAAACATAACAGCAAAGGACAGAAGGAATTCAATGTCTATAGCTTATCAAAGGGAGGTTAAAGGGCACTTGATCATATTCTCCGTGTTACATGTGAGAAAAGGCAGGCTGAGGATAGGTTAATTCCTTTACCTGAGAAAGGACTGGTAAGAGATAACAGCTCAAAACATTAGGTAAAAATTCAGATTAGAAGAAAGACAATACCTGGATTTTCTTTTTCCTTTCTGTCTTTAATAAGAATGATTAACCACTGAAACAACTTTTATAGAACTGAGATAGACTCACCATCACAGGCAATTGATATATCACCTATATATACATATTTCAACATAGCAAAACCCTTTAATTAGGAATTAATTTAGGAAAGTTCTGTGTCTTGTGCTATACAAGATCCTAGACTACATGGTTACAATAGCCTTTTCTTGCCTTACAAACTATGAAGTGAACAAAACATACCAGTGGTGGTCTTAACCAATGAGCTACAGTAGTGTAAAAACACCTCATCACTCCTACCCATTTTTTTAATTCCGAAAGTACTATTTAAAAATAAAGAAGCCAGATTAAAGTACAGTTAACAGACGATCCTTGTTGACAATAAAAATGAAACTATTTATATAATCTGTCCAACCATTTATATAACATGCCCAACCATTTTGATAATGATTACTTATTTAATCTGCAGAATGAACTCCCTAAGTTTCTTCATTTTAAGGAAAACCCATACAGCTACTTTAAAGCAATCTGTGAACATATCATCAGACATATACTCCTCAAATATTCAAGCAGGAATTCCCCTGGGATCTGCATGCAAATACAATCCTGTTTTCCATTAGCTTCACAGAGCTGGCTGTTTAAAACAGACTGAACGGAGATGTAAGCGCTGAATACATAGCCCCAAGACATATCACATTCTATTTGACCTAATGCTATGCAAGTGACAGGACCACAGCAGCTACTTCTTCCGCAGTTTTGCTGTATGGTTTTAGTTCATTCCAATCTAAATGCCACCTATTTGACTGTTTCCTTTCCAACATCTCGAATTATCTAAGAACATCATCAACATAAATAGCAAGGTTAAAAAGGAGGAAAATCTACAAATAGTAACAAGCTTTATAGCTCCATTTATAGCTTCAATCCTTATCAAGTTAAAACAGAATCCACTGATCTAACTGGGGGCTTTGAGCCAACTTATTTCCTTCACTGAAAAAAAATGCTATTAGGTAAAGGAAGGAAAAATGAAACTACTTTAATATATCTCTCTCATGCCTTTCAGAAGCAGCAGTCTAACTTACAGTTTGTTACTAGATCAGTGCAGACAGGTATATGAACCACTTCCTGAAGAAAATCACAGTGCAAGAACGATACTCAATTTTCAAATGCTGTTTGTTGGGTAACCAAACAGGAAAAAAAAACCCAACCAAACAGTGAACATCTGGATGGATACATCCTTGCCTGGTACTGCAGTGGAGGCTAGTTCCCTGGGCTTCGTAGGCACAAAATCCCATGTGTAATCAGTACTCACAACAGCCATACTTGGAAGTGAGACTGTTCCCAAGGTCTTTTTCTGACAAATTCACTAAATATCAGAGGAGTGGAAAGGCGTCAGTCTGTGTAGTAGACTGCCCCTACAACAAACTTGCATCAAGAAATACACAAAGCACCATGTCCTTCGCAATTCTTCCTGACACCAGGGGTGTACATGACTTTCAAGGAAGCAAATGAGCAACTCCAGCCTGTCAGCGTTATTCCCAAGGTAGGCTTTTTTAATCCCCAGTTAGCAAGACAGGGGAACATTCTGCCCTAGGTGAGGAGGTGCTGAGCTTGGGACAATGGCTTTGTTTATCTCCTCCTGGCATGCCCAGCCTTATATCACTGTTGCTGCTGTTCTTTGTCCCCCCATCACGAGAAAGGAAGACCCTGAAACTCTCCATCCTATAAGCCTTGGCTTCAGCTAGGCTCGTTTTTCACAGGATATGAAGCTTTCAGTGACCATCCTCCAAACCTCGCCACCAGTATCAGTCCAGGGTGCACAGTATTTGCCAGCCATGACATTGTCCTGTTCAATCACAAATGCCAATGAACTCCTTCAGCCCCTGTTGTGCTTCAGGCTATTCTGCTCCTCTGCTTCACCAGCATCCCTTTGAGCTTCAGTGTTATCTAGAGTTTGGGAGGCAAGCTGCTCTCATCCTGGAAAATTCCAGGGTATAACAGTAACAGCATAGGTCTTGGATGAATAGGAAAACAAGCTGAGAATAGGAAAGACCATATTTACTCTGGAGGGGATGAGAATCATTGGCCTACAGTCTAACCCATCAATAATTAAGGTAGAAGAGGAACTCTCAGCAGTGTTCCTATTTAAGTATGTCTGCATCAGCATTTTTCTCTATAACTCTCACCATTTTGCTGTTTCACTACTGACAAGTAGCAATTTAGATGTCAAAGTTGCAAGTTGGTAACCTGAAATTCAACACTAGCTGCCAGTCAGTGTTAATACGGACTATGAAGAGAAGGGGACATGAAGAAAATTATCAGTATGAAAAAAAGCAGTGACTGAAAATACAATATGTGTAAGTACAGAACAACACGGAATAAAAATTCAGCTTTCAAGTGAATAGTGTCTAATTTTTAATAAGAACAGCAAAGCTAGAATCACGCTACTAGACAAAAGAATATAGGGGGGTGGTTCATCTCTTAATCAGCTGGAACAATGGTCTGATTATTTTTCTAATCATAATTCCATTTGATATGAAGAAGTATATTTCAAGCATTTGAAATGCATCTATAGTTTTCCACAACAGCAGCTACTTAAGTTTTTGTTCTTTCAGGGGAGGAGAAACCCATGAAAAACTAGAGTTCAAACTCTTTAGGAAAAGATCTGCCCCCTAGTATTTCATAATTACATGAAAAACCCCTCTAGTTGCCTTTCGTTTCTTTTTGCTTTATCAGTCAGAGGGGATTATGGATTCAACCCTTCAGCAAGGTAGAAACATTAGTACTCCTTCCTGCAGCTGTTCATATTCTGGGCTAGTGTATAGCTTGAAGAAAATCCAACACCTTCAAATAAATTACTAACCAGCTGAAGTCAGAATTATTGCCATTCCCTAACTGAGAACCATACATTTGTTTTCCACTTCAACATTTTAAAATAATGCCTCATGACGAGACTTTTGTGCAATGTAGACTGTGTATTACTTAATTTTTAGGGCCATGTTATAACCTACTGTAAACAGGCTCATAACGTAAAATTCTACTTCTCTTCCCTTCGGGATAGAAACCGCGCTGTGTATTTTAATGTTAATGTGGTGAAGACCAGGAAGTTTCTTGTTATTACACATCTATATTGTTGCAGTCTGTTGTCAAAAATGCCTTCATTTTGAACTGGGTCGCAGCGTGTTCATGAATTGCAAACCACTGCAAGAAACGTGTGATCATTTGAGCTGAAGTGGCAGTTTTCACACAGTTCGAGTTGTTACAGCAGCTAATTTTAGAGCTACAATGAAACTGTCTGGATTACCCGGAGGGGACACTATTTCAGTGCATTAATGAGGTTACACACAAAGCGAGTTTATTATGGTAAGAGATAGATGTTCATTAGATCAGTAATGTGATTACAGAACGTGCTGTAAAGGAAGCACCATTGATAACTATAGGGAAGATGATTTTGCAAACGTTAAACAAAATGTAAAAGCAAAACATTATTAAATCCGCTAAGTTTACTGTACTATTCTTATTAGTAAACATGAACAGTTTTAAATGAAAAAAAATGATTATATTTTGGCTTATGGCAAAATTGATGTCCTCCTGCATGAGGGGAAATATTTTAACACAAAATGTATTTTCACTTCATTTTAATCCAGCCTAAATGCTGAGAAACTAAATCCTCATTCTAAAATTCTGTGCTTGTGACAATTTATTCTTATTTCCTTTGGTGTGTTTTTCTTTGGTGGGTTTTTTTTGGTTTGGGGTTTTGGTTTTTTTTTTCCCCCTTGTGTGTGATTTGTTTTGGTTTTTTCGGGTAGCTCTGTATAAGAAAAGTTTTCAAATATGCTTTGCAGATACTATTTCAAATACAATAACAGTAATATGTTATATAATACAGGAAATAAACATACATCTTCCCACTCTGACCACAGAACCGTCTGCATTCCTAAGAAATGTGAAATAGAATTCTACAGTCTACAGGGTTATCATTCTCCTGCAGTCATTTTCATTATTCATTGGCAAATACCTTCACGTACTCGGAAGTCAGGGCACAGCCTTAGAGCCAGTGCAATATAGAGACAGAAAGGACCTAGAAGAGACCATCTCACTCATCCATGTGCTCTGAGGCTTCATATTTGTCCTCTTCATGTTTGCACATGATTAACTGGTATTTCAACAGTAATATACAGAGCACAATAATCAACTTCAAATTTTACTAGTAATATGATAATGAAGAAGCCGAGTACCAAAAGACAAGAAAAGGTCTATCCCAGCAGTCCAGTAATCTGCAGATAAGAGGCTCTACACCTGGGATCTACAGATCTAGCATCTACAGAGAACTAAAGACTTTCAGGTACTGACAAGGTTTATGAAAGTTTCTGTAAATCCACAATGAAGCAAATTTTTTTTTTTTAACTATAACAGAACATAAAAAAGCAGAAGGTATTATGTTCCTTCCATAACTGCTGCAAGTTTAACAATGAAATTACATTTATCATAAACTCATTTAGATTGGAAAAGACCTTTAAGATCATCAGGTCCAACCACTCACCTATCCCTGCCAAGTTGACCACTAATCCATGTCCCTGAGCACCACATCTACATGGTTTTTAAATACCTCCCGGGATGGTGACTCAACCATTTCCCTGGGCAGCCTGTTCCAATGCCTGACAGCCCTTTTGGTGAAGAAACTTTCCTCATATCCAATCCAAACCTCTCCTGGCACAACTTGATGCCATTTCTTCTGGTCCTATCACTTGTTACTTCAGAGAAGAGACCAACACCCATCTCCCTACAACCCTTTCGGGTAGTTGTAGAGAGCCATAAGGTCTGCTCTCAGCCTCCTCTTCTCCAGCCTAAACACCCCCAGCTCCCTCAGCCGCTCCTCAGGACTTGTGCTCCAGACCCTTCCCCAGCTCTGTTCCCTTCTCTGGACACACTCCAGCACCAGACCCTTTAGGCCCCTCTTTCTTGCAGTGAGGGACCCAACACTGAACACAGGATTTGAGGTGCGGCCTCACCAGTGCCCAGTACAGGGGCACAGTCACTGCCCTACTCCTGCTGACCACGCTGTTCCTGACACAGGCCAGGATGCCGTTGGCCTTCTTGGCCACCTGGGCACACTGCTGGCTCATAGTCAGCCGGCCGTCAACCAACACCCCAGGTCCTTTTCTGCCTGACAGCTTTCCAGCCACTCGTCCCCAAACCTGGAGCATTGGTTCTTGTGACCCAAGTGCAGAACCCGGCACTTGGCCTTATTGAACCTCACACAGTTGGCCTTGGCCATAAATCCAGCCTGTCCAGATCCTTCTGCAGACCCTTCCTGTCCTCAAGCAGATCAACACTCTCGCCCAACTTGGTGTCACATGGCAACTTGCTAAGGGTGCACTCAATCCCCTTGTCCAGGTCATTGATAAAGATACTATTGATAAAGATATTTATGTTCAAGTGGAGAAACATTACACAAAAAACCTAAATATAATTAACTTCTAAACACACAAAGCTGCCAAGCAGAAAATTAAATGGTCTATTAATTTTCCTCTTATTGATCAATTAAGGGCAGACTGATCATGGGATTAAATATTGGATTTACAAATTTGCAGTGGTTTCTGCATGACAGAATCTGTAATTATTTCTTCTTTTGCATTCTTAAAACCGCTGAAGTTTCATTTACATGCAATCTAGGTTTCCTACACTTGCTTTGCTATCCTCCAGGTGATAGACTAAATCACAATTAAAGAAGGGAAAAATTCATTCTAAGTTTTTGACATTTTCAAGTTTAACTCACATGGATTTTGAGGTATTATTAAGAGAAATAAACACGTAGAACTGGAAGAAAATAAATAAATAGACAAGTCAATGAGGCATGGACCAGTCATCTACTTGAGGGATATAGATATCAATAAGGGAAAGCAATTATTCAAAATGACATAAGAAACCATAAATATGGGAAGAAGGGTAGAAATAAGCAAATCAGAGAAAACAGTTTTAACCCAGTATCTTAAAGTGATGATTAGGTCAGAATTTAAGACCTTCATTATCTCCTGTAATGATAGTTGACTTAGAACTGAATGTCTCAAAATAATAATCATAGAATCATGGAATGGGTTGGGTTGGAAGGGACCTTACAGACCATCTAGTTCCAACCCCCTGCCATGGGCAGGGACACCTTCCACTAGACCAGGTTGCTCAAAGCCTCATCCAGCCTGGCCTATAGCCACGCAGCTCAGTGAATACAGAGAACTACTGTCAGCAGCTCCGCAGAACTAAAGCTTAAGTAGGCCTGAGTCTTTTTCAGGAGCGGGAAGCATATGCATCTTGAGAGACCCACTAGACTTCACAAAGAATGTAGTCCTATTTAATGACATTAGAGCACAAAACATTTTTAAAAACTGGATCCTAAATGTTAAAATTGTTATTATGTTGTTCAAACTCTCCCAGCCTTAACAGGAAATGTTTAATATGGGAATGGGTAAACAATTCAAAATTTAACAAACGGAGCTAAAATAACTTTCATAAATCCAGTCAAGCACACGTATGTAAAGAACAATATACACACATTACAAGAGACAATCACTCACTTTTACAAAATACTTGACAAAATTCAAAACTAAGCAAAAAAAGCAGCAGCAGCAATGGTCTTTACGCTTTACCCATATGTTAAAATCAGCAGGTTTTAAATAAGCATTTTAAACACACTGGAATCTGTAGAAATACAGAACAAAGCAAAACCTAGTGGCAATTTGCAGCCACGCTTCTGAAATAAAAGGGCATGTCAGAATCTAATCAGTACATGCTAACTATACAATTACCTTATCCTTTAATTAAAAACTTATAAAAGACTTCCAGGTGGTATAAGGCTGAGTAAAGCTTGGCCTCTAATTTTTTGTTCTTTAGAGAGTTAATAGAATTTAAATTTATGTCTAGTTTTACTTTAAAGGAACATTTGCGTCTCTTCATGTCCTAACTGTTTATCATATATAGTGATTTTTAAAAGTTAATAGAAAGTAAATTAAAAAAAAAATGATAAAGATGAAATATTACACAGTTGAAATTCATTCACTTTGTTTCAGGTCATTCAGTGAACATTTCCAAAAAGCCTTCGTCAATGGCTGGGTAAAATAAATCCAAAGGAGGATTTAGCAACAAGTATAATGCCAAAAATTAATAGAAAAGGAATCACACTGTTCCCAAAACAGGAGATGACAGACAGTGCTAAAGATAGTAAAAGGGCCACAGGTATTCCTATCACAATACATCTGAAAACCTACATTTAAATAAAAACAAAAAAAAGATTGGGGCTGGAAGAGAACACAGTGAATCTGAAATGCCTCTAAATGAAATAACGTGGAAAGGACAGTGTGATGTGCCACAGGGAAATTCTCACATACCATTCTAACGGCTTTATGTTGAAGAAAAGGCTGAGGCAGTCTCTCAAAACCCTGTCTGGCTCCAGAAGCATTCCTCTACTACAAGCTGCCTGTTGCCCCCAGAGCCAATACAAATCCCTGGCACAGAACGATGCAGGTTGAGCTGATGGGATGTGTCAGGGCCACAGTGTATCACTCAGCGGAGATTTTAATGCAGCACTGTGACATCTAGTAAACTCTGGAAAAGGCTGACTTCAAACAGACTTCAAAGATGTTTACAGATCACCAGGGACCATTCCCACTCGTAAATCCCTCAGGATCACGTTAAAACAAAACTAAACTCTTGAGAAAAATTCAGAAGGCTCAAAACCAAGAAAATAATACTGAAATTTATCATTCACTGCAAACATTTTAAGTTTACTTAATTTTCTAATGGCAGCAGTACTTTTTGTTTCAAATTTTGACTACCATCCATTCTCTATAGAGTGATCAGTAGTCCGTTGAGCAACCTGATCTAGTGGAAGGTGTCCCGGCCCATGGCAGGGGGGTTGGAACTAGATGGTCGTTAAGGTCCCTTCCAACCCCAAACCATTCTGTGATTTTATGATTCTATTCTAAAGGGGTAAAATTTGGCTACACATTTGTACCTGACCTGAGAACGTGCAGCCTGCCCCTCATCCCACTTCTATGCGCGGGACAGACTGAAACCTAGAAACCTGCAAGTCACTGTGACCTATAATTTCTTAGAAATCATGAGTCCTTCCTTCCTACTAGGTGGGAGCTTATGCACAATGAAAAACAGCAAACAGATTTCTAAGATGTTGAATTCAGTTGAATAACTTCAGCAACATTCCAAAAGGCTTACAAACAAGCAAATTCTCACCAGTTGAATAAGCAGGCTAATTAGGTCCGTCAGGGGTTTATTGATAAGCAGAAGGTCTTCAGCAGCCTGTGTGTCCCCTCCTGCGCCAGATTTCTGTGCCTTAATAAGATGAGGAAAAATAAAAAGCAACCTCAGTGACTGTTTCATTATGAGAAACAAGTTAGGTCCATTAGGTGGTCAATGTTTGAACGGAATTTTGAAGGAGACTTGTACACTCTTTTCTAGTTAAGCGTCCCTGGGCTCTGAATGAGCAGTTACGCTCCCTGTGCCTGTAACAATAAGCACAAAGCAAGAGACTCATGCTGTCAAGCCCATTCTGCACAGGCTGAGTATCCTGACCTACCTGACATTTCTTCAGCAAAATGCTATAAACTGTATATGCAAAAGGTATCTCGAAAGCCTTAAATGTTTTATTTATTTGTATTCTCTTTCAACATGACATGACTATTTTATCATTAAAGTCCAACTTTTCTTCCCTTTATCAGGAACAATTTTAAATGCTACTCGAAACAAGAAAAATCAAGGTGACTGTAAAGTTAGGATTCTCAACAATGATGTCCAATTTTGTCTTTCTGACTCATTTTGTATCCTGAAATATTCATAATAAATTATAATAGTTTATTTTTTAAATAGCAATAATAAAACCCTTAAGTGACAAAAGTCTGTGATATGACTTCCTACTACTTGTAATCCTGACCATTGTCACCCCCTTCAAGAAAGCACACTGCCCTCCTAGGCAGTGTTATTTATGACCCATCCCTGCTCCAGGATACCAGGAAGGTCTGCTTACAAGATTTTTCATTTCATTTCATTTCATTATCTTGTAGCACTTTGGACCATGACCCTGTACAGTCTAGCTGCTGTAGGAAAACGTAAACATTTCCTCTAAAGAACTCATTTAAAAATCACTTTGTATTGTGTTCCATTTAAACATTTCATTCCAAGTATAATACCTGAGGATTTTTGTTTGGTTAAGCAAATGCAAGAGCAGGTCCCCTGAGACAGAAGACACTCCTGCAGAAGCTCCACTGTTGATACTGATGAGTTGAAAGGACAATGCCTTTCTTCTAGGAAGAATTTTGAAAAAAGAGATCTAAAGAGATGTTTCTCCAGGTGAGAAGAAACACTGGTATGTCCCTCACTGAGGCTCACCACAATGACCTGGAATGCTGAAGTCCAAGGGCAAAAACACCATAGTGCAGAGAAGACAAAAAAAATGGAGTGTTTATATTAATCAAGAGAGGGAAGTAAGCCACTTTCACTTCAGCAAAATTTCCAACAGCTTTTTCTGTTAATGCTTGGGTGAAAGACAGACATTCTTTATCAGGCACGTTTGAATACTTTCTTTAACTTTCATATATTTAGTGTATTTGGAAAGAGAATGAACAGCATCACTAAAAGAATTATACTTTATATATGTCACATATATGATACACACTACACCATGTTTAAACCTACATGAAGTCATTAAATAGAGTCCACGTATCAAATTGAGATTGCAAATTACTTTCAGCTACTGTGGATCACCTGTGGGACATGATATGATGAGACTGTTCCAAAACAGATACGCAAGTTAATCTGAACTTCTATACCATTTCCATTAAAACACAAGTACTCGGACCACAGAGAGCAAACTCTTGAATGAAGCTGGATACAGTTATCAGCACCATTCAGCAGAAATGACTGAAATGCAAAGGAAAAGTGGTGTCATGTTTTGACTATGCAGCTGCGTGAGGTGATCACTTTACATATAAAAAGCTTTAAAAGGATTCAGGTGAAGGTAGGACTATTTCAAGTTCTGTTTCAGAAGGTGTCTTATTCAGAAGACCCCTATGAGAAACAATGCAAGAATATTTGTTGTCACTACCCCGATGCATTTAGTGACACATGGATAGCAGAGTATTACGTATAGATGCAAGTTAAATACCAGCCAACAACTAACGGCCATCATTCAATAGGGTATGTGTACTGAGGCATCTGTAGAACCCACAGGGGCCCTGTAATGAGTACCATCAAGACAAGTAAGCTAAGGCAAGTCACACCACCCTAAAATTAGTTTTCTAGGGGCGCAGGGCAGAGCTATGCTTCAAAACTCACTTTTCCAGCTGATTCTTGTTAGCCTTCCAGATCAAAGTAGATTTGACTAAAATTGGACAAGACTGGAGTTTTAGTGCATAAATCAATTGATGTATTCATGTAAAGCCAGAACAGAATTTGGCTTTGAATGTATAGATTTAATTTTGTATCTAAATAAAAATCACCAGTTTCACTAATGCTGCCAGTCCATGTGCAAGATCCTCTCTCCTGACACGTGCCCTCCAATATAATTGGCCTCCGCTGCTGTGTGGAGCGTACATACAGAATGTATCTCTCTGATTACATGGAGTGCTGCCAACAATATGACAATCAGCAATTAGACTACAAAATTTGATTTACAATGTGATTCTTAGATAAGAAACCCATTACAGAACCTGCTATTAGAGGACTCAAAAAAAGACAAAGTATTGTACCATCAGATCTAAATCAAATTTCTTCCAAAAATGATAAAAAACCACCCACTTCTCACTGAAATATCTGGTTGATAACATAACTGATTATGTAAACCTGTGTAGAAAAAAAAAAGGCTGAATTTTCAACACCCACTTCATACATTAAACCTTCTTAATAAATAGCCAAACCAAACCCCAAACAAAACCCAACCAACCCCCAGAGAGGACCTTCTCGGAATAAAGAAGCCATGTCCTGAACGACAATACAGGACAGGAATCTCTGTCCTGAAGACATATTGGACCTAATGGTCTTCTCTGTTCTTCAGTAGATAATCCAAAGAACATCAAAAACCTAACGTGAAGAGTAGGTGGTGCTGATTGCAGACTAAATACAGAAGTTACTTCCACTTGACCAACGCAGAAATTTGGCAGATCATTTAAAAACAAAACAAATGCTGTCAGCTTAGCATCAAGTCTAAAAAATGATGAATGTTTTTTCTTGTTTTAAGAGAGTTATGTGAAGTTTCTTTAAATAGTATATTTTTGTGCTCCATTTTGAAGGAGGAGGATCTCTTCTTTGGAAGAGGAAGTCCTACCATTGCCCTGACTTGCAGTCATTCCTACAGAAACTTGAAAGACAAACTGAGCAATATAAGAGAGGAAATACTTTAGTCAATGCACATGCAGAGGTTACATATGCTCAAGTAGAGTAATTACACATGATTTATAATGAAAGGATGTTGGGTTTTATGGAGTAATCTTTATGAATGGAAGAAAAATGGTTTGACCTTGAGTAAAAGTTGAATCAACCTACTTAATGTGCTTAATAAAAAAACCCAGTCAAGTAGGACCTGTGTTTCCAGCACATGGTGAGACTAGTATAGATAGTCTAGCCAGGTAAGTACATGAAACAGTAACATGAAGTTGAAAAATACATGCTTTTCTCTTTCTACCCAACTAAAAATTCAATAAAATCAGAATAGTAGGAATTTCATTATTAGGATAATGGGAAGCTACTTAAAAAAAAAAATGTTTTAAGATTGTGATGACCCCAGAAAATAAATTCCATACCTGTAAAGCCTGGCGCACAATGTTTGCTGTATACACCAGCACGCAGTGCAAAATGTCAAGCAAGGACAGAAGCAGGGCATTTGCTGTCTTGGTGCTGCTTTTATCATCTGCCTCCAAGTACAGAGCCACAGTCTCTATCAGGAGATTACAGATGTGATGAGCCAGTCCTACGTAGAAAGTGAGACCAAAGAAAGAAAAGAAATAGACTATCAGGAAAACAACAAGGAAGGTAGCCCAGTTAAAAATAATAGATTAGCATGAAAACAAATTTCACATATATTATCAATATTTGTTAAATTTCCTCTTTTTCTCCATTATTATAATTACCTCCTCTTCTGTTTGGAGCAGCACATAAACAGAGCTAAACTGATACAATCACATCTGCTAGCTGCATGGAAAATTATGTAACATTCATTAAACAAACACTGAATCCTAAACTTTTTTGTGGCGTGCTGGTATACAATGTCCTTCACAGCACTCTTGGTCACAAGAATTAAGCAATTACTCCAGGCTGTTACAAAATGACACATCAAGGTCAGAGCCTAAAGTTTTCTTTCTTAGCTGCTCTGCCAATTACAACCTTCCCCATACGCTTTAACTGTAGAATTGAACACTGTTATGCTTAACATACAATATATTCAGAAGAGCATTATAAATGAACTAATGAATATTAAACATAAAATGCTACGAAGGTTCGTTTGACTGATGGTAGTAAAAAGTTTCCTGAAAAAAACACCTTCTTGCCTTGAAGGTTTTTTTCAGCTCCTTTGGAATTTAATAACAGCAGCTCCTGTAGCTTGCTTAACCCACAAATCAATTCACAAATGAGAAAAAAATCTAATCCATTTCAAGGCAACACTGATTCAACTCAGAATCTTTCTTACTTCCAAATACAAAGTGATCGAGTTCATCATATTTGATCTTAATCTTTTTCTTTCAGAGTTTCATAAGGCATGAATGATTGTTCCTCACCAAGAACATAATGATGTTTGTAAACTGCCTTCTTTTGAACTGGTAATTAGCCATACTGTAACTTGGGTGCACATATGTAGTAACACTGTAGTATATCAGCTTCCAGTCCCCACGACTGGCAAAAATGACTGAAGTATTTCACTGATTTCACTGAAGTAAAAAGACACCTTTGATAAGTCCTCCTTTAAAAAGTAACCGTATGTATTTTTACAAACATCAGTACAAGATTAAAATGAGACCTGTAGAATACAATATGTAATTACACCATTCTGCCAACTAGGCAGATCTGAGAGGTATTGAACTACTTTGGCTTTGAAAGCTGCCCCATCAATTAACTAAATTTTCACGAGGTATCTTCCTCCTGTATACATCACCCTTAATACTTTCCTCAGGAAATTAAATACAAAAACATTCATTTAGAATATTGTTATGGGTCAGGATCATTAAGAATTGCACTCTGCTTATATATCGTATCTTTTGTGTTTCTATGATTACTAGCATTATTCTTTCACAACAGTTTGATTGATGGACTACAGCTGAGGCTAAGCTTGGAATTTCCTGGGGTTTTGTCTGCGTAAACCAAACTCAAAATCCTATCAATCCAATCTCGCACATTTAATTTCCTTCTCCTTTACATTACAGTTCCTGCTGCAGTTCTGAACGCTTCATACAAAAATGAGATAGCACGCAGAGACACATTTATACGATGTCACCAGTACCCACCAAGAAAGAAAAAAAACCCCAAACATAATTGTATGTCTATCCAGTACAAAACTTGTGGTTATTCTATGCTTTTTTTCACCAGGCTAAATTAGAATAAACTTAAGAAAACAGTCCAGTAAGAGCTGGTCCCTATCAAAGTGAGGTCTGCAAAATTGCCTGCAGGGATATGCCAAGTACACTCAGTTTCTCCCTGCATATGACCACAAAACCCACAGACACAACAAAATGAATGAGTCACCCTTTTATTTCTAGATGGCTTACATATAACCCTTATGACAGTGACTTGAGATGAAGGCTGAGGAGGACACTTTCAAACGAAGGCACTGTATGGGTTATCATCAAGAATTTTTTAGGCAGTAGTCCTCCCTGCATTTATAGCATTAAGTAGGGAATGACTAAGAGTGAATGAAACAACAGGATCCATGACTGATGTGCAATCTTTTCCCTTTCAGTTTTGAAGAGAATGACTTGTTTATTCCCTTGACTGTATCAGCCTGTCTCACAACGGCCTCACTCCTACTGTTCGGTGAACGAGGAGGTTCAACCTTCTCGCCACCCATCAAGACATGAATAATATAATCATCTAAATTTTACTCTCTTGAAGTATTTGCATCCTAAAGGTATGCATATTGGCACCCCTGCCTCCAAACACATGAAATACATCAGGATATTCACATTTACTCAGCTAACAAAAACATCAGAATTAATGGATTTTATATAGGTAGTTACATGCTCACAGAAGTTGGATGTACAAAGATATGCATGTTAAATTTGGAAATTTTTGGGGAAAAAAAAAACCTTTCTGGACTTAGAATACCTTTGGAAAATTTAACACTTCAAAACTTTATTATAAAGACATCTGGAATAAAATACTGGCACAAAATGTTCCCTAACACACTGCATGATTCATACAAAAACCTGATAAACACTTGGTTCCACAGATAAAAAAAAACAGTCTGACCTCTTGCCTAGTAAATACAGTTCCAGACATGCTCTTTAAAATATTTCATTGTGTCACAAAAAAATGAAAATTGGAGGCTGCAATAGTAGACATGTAAATATACTCCTTGCTTACACCACAAGACAAAATACACATTCTTTGCCGTTGGAAGAGAAAGTTGGGAAGCTGGTATAATTTACAGTGGCCATGACAATTCAATAGAAATCTAACAGCGTTGGCCATTGTCCCTGTAACCAATTTACTCAAAAAGTAGCTATAAAGTTCAAGGCCAGTATGTCTCAGCATTCCAAAAACTGAATCCCACAACAGATAGTCTGAAAAAAGAGGATGCAATTCTAAAAAGAGGAAACTGTATTCATAATTTAGTAAACCATAGTAGAAAAATAGTTTCAGAAAATACATTGAAGATTTTCTGCCAGATTTTACAACTCATTCAAGAACCACATGCTTCTTAATTCCCAATAATTCCTAAAACAATATTTTACCTTTAAAAACTTCAGACAATATATTTCTGAGACATACTTAACAGACATAAGTTTCTTATGCAGTAATTCTTGCCTGTTCATTAGAAAGTAAAATAGGCACACAGCATGCACTCCTGAACTTTCAAAGTGGTGGATCTGAATTTAAATTCTGTATCATAGTGGAGAGCTAAATCTGATTAAATCAAGGCAGATTGTTCTACTGAGAACAGCTACGTATATTTAGGTATTCTGATACTTCTGAATATGCTGGTAACAGTCGACTTCCTCAAGATAAAAGTGTTAATGACCATTTCTACATGTTAAAGGAATGCATCATAATTTCTCTCAGCTGGGCATTACTTATTAAGAGAGTTAAGCAAAAACGTGTTGTTATAGATTTTTTTTGTTACTATAATTTCCAAATTTCAGCAAACAAAATATACGACATCACATCATTTGTAGCTATAGTTTAAATTTATTACAATATTTCATACTGCACTAATCATGCCTTGTATTCATTTGTATAAAGAAGGATCTTCAAAATATTAAGCTTCAGTGCAGTTCCCTGCTATTCATGTTTTGCAGAAAAATAAGGCAAACCCTGGATTTTGTGTTAGAATTATTGTGTTTATCAATTAACACAACTGGAATTAAACAAAGAACCTGTTCTAATTGCTGTCAAAGATTCATAATACGTATTAAAATGATTGCAGCCAAAATTCCTAGGCACGTTTTTATAGCACTTGGCAAACATAGTGTTCACAGCAGAGTAGCTTTCCTGCCCAGAGACCCCTGCAACGAACTGAGCAGGTCGCTAATAGTGTTTTATGAATGTGGACTGTGATGACTGTGCTTGTGTTTTACAAATCTTTTCAAAAGATAAAAGAAGCCTTTTGGCCCATGATACAGCTAATCGGACAGAATGTGCCATGATACCTTCTGGAATGAAAGCTGAGAGGAGATATTTTATTCTCACCTATTAGCAAGATGGATAAAGGAAATGAAATCTTCCTTTCCAAAACATACGAAACATCAAAGGATAGCCTAGGAAGCAATCTTCCAGGCAATCCTTTCATGCCTACCAACAATTAGAGCATTCAACAAACCTGTCTGCTTTCAGCTGAAGAAAATGTTAGGGCAGTTGCACTTCCTCCGAACAATGCCACCACACAGCCAAGCAGCCAGCAGCAAAGCCCTCAGCCTGGTAAAAAGGTTTCTCTTTGTTCCCTTCTTCATGTTGCTCTCTGGAGAGCTGTTTTTCCCATTTGTATCACACCTACACAACTGCCTCCCCAGGGATATTACCCAATGTATATTCACTAGACTCTTCTTCCTCCTTTTACCTACAACGGACCTGCTTGAGTTTTTGGACTTTTTATTAAAAAAAAAAAACAACAAACACAACAAAACAAACAAAAACAAAAAAACAACCAACCAAAACTCAAAATAACAACATACTAGAAACGATATCACCAGGCTAACTAGAAAACATATTTCATAATTTTTTTAATGTTAATGATAAAACTCAAAAATATTGCTACGAAGAAACACCGGACTGTATTCTGTCAGATTCTTTCACACAGGAAGTAGATCTTTAGTACCTGAGCACTTAAGATAATCCATTATGTCATAAAGATTCTTCATAAGAACTTACTTAGCTAGAATTTAATTTGCATTCTCTGCATCATAGCCCTACTACTCAAGGTTTCCTCTTTTGAACAAATGAAATTAGGCAATGTAAAGCAAACGGTATCTTTAGAGTAAGGATACCATTTGCTTCTTTTATTGTTGTTTTTGTTTATTATTTGTTACTGTTTATTTGGGAACTATTTGTGGTAGTACTGTGTTATTATTGAGGGAAGAATAAACTACGATAGAAAATTAGATCATCTCTGATTTCAAGATTTGGTGAGTTATGAATGTCAGATCAAGTGGAAAGAAAATGATAGAGCTGTTGAAGTTATGAACTGCATGACTGCTGCCCTGAAAATGATTTTCTATTTTGATCTTAAGAATTAATAGCATCTGAAGAAGAATATTTCGCACA